TTACAGTTAATACTTTTAAAGGGGAGTAACATTTATATTCTATCTTTTGTGTCTCTTATTCGAAGATTAAACATAACTGAACCCTCTACCATTAGCAGTACTTTCTCTGACACCTAAAAACGTCAAATTGAAATTGAAAGCGATGGGAATGCAAATTAATGCATAAGCATGTCTTAAACGTTGGATAGTAGAAAAGAAAGTTACAAGAGAATAGACTTCTAATTGAGTCTGAATGGTAATTACTGAAGTAATAAAGAGATTTTTTAGATCCATTACTATTTCTGATTTACACAAATGATCTATATACAAACCTAATCAGCAAACTAAAATTAAATTAAAAAATGTAAATAATATTTTCAGGTAAAATAAAAATACCTGGAGAAGTAACAAAAGGCATTACAAAAAACATAGCATCCAAATATGGGCTGTCTCCTGGAAAATTAAATTTAATATACAGATGTGTGCAAAATACCTGTGGATAGGAGAAATACATTTAAAAATAAAAAAATGGAATTGTTGTTGAAGAAGCAGATTGCCAATACATTTATTCACAACATCCATCCATTTTCTAACCTCTTCTTCTAATTCAGGGCTGTGGTGGAGCAGGAGCCTATCCCAGCAAGCAATGTGCACAAGGCAAGATAAATCCTGAATAGGATGCCAGCCCATCACAGAGTACACACAGAAACATACTGTACATGCACACACTCACCAAGGCCAATTTTACAGAAACCAGTTAACCTTCCAGTAAGTATTTGGGCACTGGAAGGAAACTGGAGCACCCAGAGACAACCTATGCAAACACAGGGAGAACATATAAACTCCACAAAGACAGCACTCCAGGAATTCAAGTCAGTGGAATATATATTAAAATTAAAGCAGTTCTTTAGTTAGATCTCTCTGAGAAAACTGTGTACTATTTTGGTTACAACTTTTCATGGACAAAGCTGTAATGGAATCTTTCCAAAGAAGGACTACAAGGTTAATGGTCTTTATGAAATGTCTTGGACCCTGACAGGTTAAATTCACAGAGTCTCTTCAAGCCTTTAATAATACGAGACTGCAAGGAAACTTCAATATCTTACAAAACCATTCCAAATATTCTTGAAAATATGAAATTCTTTAAGATCAACAATGAAAAATCAATCAAAGATACACATGCAAACTAATGGAAAGTGCATTTGAGAAAGAGGCCTAAAGACACATTACACAAAGAGTTGTGGAAGTATGGGCCAAGCTACCCATGTTATTGAAACTGATACCCTACTGTTACTTTCATCAAGAAAAACTTGCATGAGATCCTTAGATCAATCACGTTACAAAGAAAATGAGCTAGAAGGGTCGAATTGCTTTCTCTCACATAACCTTCTTAGGTTCTTATGTTTTTGTTTAATATTTAATATTTCTTTAATAGACTGTCCCATTTAGAAACTGACCCATTGTCTTTTTTCCAAAATGTCATGGTGCAATTAATTTAACTGACATAAAACAGCCATACCAAGTGATTCTGCTCCAGTACAGGGGGACATTTTTGTAAGCCATTTAATGTTCCGAAGACAGCAGCAGTCTTTATCTTAATTTATGTCTAGTACCTTTGTATTCAGAAAATATAAAAGCCTTTTAACTCCTTGGGCATTCATTTACTTTTCCTTTCCATGCATAGAAACGTATATTACATTCACTCTTCTGGCCTGACATATGATTGCAACCTCTTATGAAACCCTTTCTTGTTCTGCTAATTTAGAATTTAGTGAAGCTTTATTTTAGGAAATAGCACTATTATTATTTTACATTATGTTTAGCTTTGACACAGTCACCACATCCTTATTTTTCCATCCCATCTATAAAAATATATTTAAAATTATATAATCTATATGGATCTTTTTTGTAAGAGTCATTATATACCCAAGAGTATAAAGTAATTATTTAATTCCTTGCTATATTAAATTGAACATCACCTCAACAGTAGGATGTGGCTTGATTTTCCTATAGTATTTCAGCACCCATAATATATGCACTTTCAACATCATTTATCCTATTGATGCACTATAGCACGTTGAGAGATACAGATGTACTGGTGTCCCTACTGTTCTGTGCTTGGTGTTTTGTCAAAGCTGTATTTTGCCTAAGTCAAGGATACTAATTTTAATACAACATGGCTCTGTGTTTATAGGTTTCTCATCAATCCACTATCTTATCAAAATCTATTTGCATATTGTGAGGCTATTGCAATGAGCAATCTGAAAGAATACAGTGTTTAACCTGAAAGCGCAAGGTAGAAGGGTCGTTGTACATGCTGTTCTGGAGATAAACAGATAATCTGGCATGCTAGGACATGAAAATAACTGAAACTGGTAATTTGGTGCAATAATAAGAAAGTGTCTTGATTATTTCTCAGAAACACCATTAGAAAAAAAAACCCAATAATGAATACAATGTGCTTTCCTACCTGGATCATTATGCCTCGTGATGAATGACCAGTCTACTGTGCCACCTTGGTCTTTCAACTTTCATGTGTTTTCTTTCCTTAAGTAGTTATGAATCTGCATTCGCTGAGCATGGTGTAATATCTTGTGCTCGCAGAGTACAGCATTCTAGCTGATATGGGAGCAAGTGAAGGTTTATTCTATGCTGAAAAGAGAAAAGAAACACAACGTTTCAGCTGTGGAGCCTTCTTTGGGTTCTTTTCTTCTCCTTTCAGCATGGAATAAACCTTTATTTGTTCCTTTGCAGCCTATGCATGTTGTCACAGCTACCTACTTGAACTACTATTCTAGCTGGCATGCTAAGCAGCCTTGCACCTGACGCCACAACCAGTGCCCTGTCTGCCTGTTTCCAGCAATGTGTGACTTGCTTGCTGTCAAGGGGAAATCAGGCAAGCTGTGGGAGCAAGGAGGTGCCCATTGTTAACCCCTGAACCAGATAATCTAACGGTAATCCATTCAAAAATAATCAAACATTTACAGAACTGCAGTGGTAGTGAGGAAAAACAATTCATCATCTTCACAGCCTCATTACACTCCCAGCATCTCAATCTACCTATGCAAATGAGACAGGGGAGCTGACATAGGGTCTGTGTACAGAAATTATAAACAAATATTCATCCATTACGCTGCTGAAATCTAACAGCTGAAGTACCAACAGTAGCTGAACTTGCAGCCCTAGGTATCAATTATTTATAAAGCTGGAACTGACAAGGCTGTCAAGGTGAATTAGCAGCATATGTCAAGCTTTTGTTATAAATCCCAGCCTACTGTAACACTCATTTTCAAAGAATGTATGTACAAGGTTGACGATATATCAACAGTTCTGGATTAATAATTCAATAGAGCGATTCCATGAGGGAGTACCTTGGGAAGTGGATTTTGCGCCACAACTGGGACTTCTGTTGAAAAAAAAATTGTGAACCCAAACACAATTCATCCACAAACCATACAAAAGACTGATCAAGCAGGACCATTTTTGTCTAAATGTATTTACTGACATCGAAACAACAACTTTATTGCTCAATAATTGCTGATTACTAGCCAACCTCAAGGCAAATATTAAAAAAACTTTTTTTTCCCTCTAGATGTTTGAAGAAAACGTTAAGATATGATGGCATAAGTATGAGAATTGCAAAATAACAATAGTAAATTATTTTGTACACTATATATCAGTATATACGTTATACTCTTTGCAGGCATGTGGCCCTTTTGGTTACATTACTTACATTACACTACTTTATTTACCATTCATTGGAAAAAGAGAGACTGACAGGACAAGTAGAGGAGCCAAAAGTGTTAAATGTTTATGTAGAACTGGTGCACAACTACAACAAAGACCTATTCTCAATTCTGGAAAAGGTCCAGAAGCCAAAACCACAAAGGTACCAAGAGAGCCAAGTCTGATTATTGCTTGATAAAGTGTAAACTTTTTTATTTCAAATGAAAATGTCTGCAATTTTCTTAAGATTGATGACTCCTTACAGTTGTATCCAATAAATGAAAAATAGATGAGGCGTGGTTCTCTCTTTTAATATTAAAGGCAATATTAAAGCCCCTTGAATTACATGGAAATGCTTTTATTTAAAAGGAATAAGACCACTGGGCATTGTTTACTGAACAGCTCATACATATTTGATGCTCTTTGCAGATTCTTAAAGAAATTCAAAGGCTTTGAAATTGTTACTGCTTTGCAAGGAGTATAAAAAGACTTTAGAGGGAATAAAACGGCATCGCTCGCCACTATATTTAATCCCTTGCTTGACACGTTTCAGTACACAGAAAAATCAGCAGAAGAACCTCTAGGTTTTATTTTTACAATAATATTGTAATGCATCAGCTAAATCAAATTATGTTATACAGTATATCGATTTATGAACGTGTTCACGAATCTTTGTAAATAAAACAGGATGTGAGGAGAAATAAAGAGGTGAAGTGGATTCGTTGGAAAAGGAGAGGTCTAAACTGAAGAGTGTAACCACCAGTTCGTTTGGCAATTCCGTGTCGTTTGTACGTTACTGCTGGTGTATTGCATGAATTTAAAACTTCAGTAGAAGACAAGTGCGGGTATCTGGAGCTACTAAAGTAGTACCTCCAAAATGTAATGTAAAATATGGATTAGAAGCAAAAGTGTGAGAGATAAAAGAATGATTAAGACCTGGAAAAATAAATATATATATATATTGAGATTTTCTAACGCTGTACATTAATTCTTACACAAGTGACTTTAAAATATTCTTTGTCAATTTTTCATTCAAGAAAGCATTAGGAGTGTAATCAACTAAATTACACTCTGGTATAGTGATTTCATATACAATACATGGTTGTGTTGTTAGTAAATACAGAAGCAAACATTACGAAACTGCTAGTTACAAAGGCGAAATGTTTAAAAGGTAGACCAGTGTTAACTACACAAAGAGCCTTAACCTTTAAAACATCCCAAGGAACAACCACGGTCATCATGACGCCCAGCGCAATTACGTCACCACATTATTGACCAAGGCGTCTTGGCGCTCCACGTGGCGTGTTGTTTACATCTTGACTGATTGCACACATGGAAGCTGGAAGAAGCACCGCGATTGTGAAATCGCATTCCATGCTAATATTACAATCTCGGCAGGCAACTGCATCTTTCAAAGTAGAAGCTTACAGTTTTAACACCAGCGAAATGGCAGATTGCTGATAAAAGCTGTCTAGGCTTTTTTGTCTGTCGACATATGAGGTCAGTGTCAGACTATCTTATATCTTTTACTCGGAAAGAGGTCAGCTGTGCGTGACTGAGATCATTTCCAGAGAATGGGTTCAACTTTTGTTTTTTTTTTTCAACTGTTTAAATTTCCAGGCTTTAATACACAGAAATAAAGCGGTTTGTTTATGCCTGTCTTTGAATTTCATTGAAAGAATTGCCTGCTTCAAAGATTTAAAGATATGTGCTGGATAAAGACTATCGCATATTTTAATTAATATTATTTTGATAGAACAGCTAGACTATAACCCGGACAAGGACAGTGTTGACGCATGTGTATAGACATGTCACTGTCACATCCAGCGAGCTTGTGACCTCATAAAAGCTGTAATTAGAACTGACTCTTAACCATTAAGGTGATATCTGTTGATCTACTTACGTTTTAATCTGTTATTTATAATGTACTTATTGAGAGTATGTTTTAAATTAAAATTATTGGGAAAGCACAGTATCTGGTAACTTTGTTGATCATTTATTTGGTTATGAATGACTCTTAACATGGAATCATTTAATTGCAAGTTGAACCTGACCTTTAGGAGAATCAACCCAACACTGTAGACTCAAGTCAATATTTATAACGTATTTCACCTTTCTAATTTCTAATTTTATTACCTGATGCATTTATCCAAAGAAACTTACGCTTGAATAGATACCTGGGTATACTGTACCTGGGTATTTTACTGGAGTAATTTGGGTTGCATGTTTTGTTTTCTGTTTCTTTGCATGCGTTTTTATTCCAGTATTTATGGAACCACGTCTTTCTGTTCTGATGTAGCATGGTTGACACTTTTGTTTTCACTTCTCTCTCTCTGTTTTCTATGTTTGGTATACCTTCGCAGATCCTGTTTTCAGGATGTTCCTGCCTGGGAGCCAGATGGTCCACTTTGACTTTGCTTCAGGCTTAACTGAGCACAGAAGCCAAAGTGAAAACATTCAGCAAACAAAGAGTTTCAAGGAATTCTTAGTAAAACTGAAGTAAATTTAAAATCCACATGCTGACGTATTTTGCAATCATATTCACAAAACCTTGCAGTTTCATTTATTGCAGGACTATTTAGCACAATGTAGTGTCAACTAAATGTACACTCTTTTTTCGAAAATATACAGTATATTTCATTTAACAGACTGTCAGCATTTAGGGGCACAAGAGCCTTCATCAGCACAAACCAATTTGGCTTTTGAACATCCATGATATATATATATCATATATATTTACATATTTTATTGTAATTTTTATAATTGTGTATGTCTATGTTTTTTCTGATTTAAAACAAAGAGTACTCTGCTTCATGCAGAATGTGGAAGGTTAAGAAATGGAATTAATGGAATTAATTTGCAGTAAACCAAACTACAGCTTATTTTTAGTGGTGACTGATATTACATGATATGAAGTTAACAAGGAATAGGTTTCTTCCATGCTGAAAAGAGATGAAACAAAACACAGCGTTTTGACTGTGGAGCCTTACAGTCGAAGAAGGCTCCACAGCCGAAACGTTGTGTTCTCTTTCTTTTCTTTTCAGTACGAAATAAACCTATTATTTATTCTTTTGCAGCCAACGCATGCTGACACAGCTACCCACCTGAATTATATGATATGATATCAGTTGATATCATATATTTACTGATATAATAAATAATTTTGTTTTACAAATTGTGGTATTATCGGAGGATGAGAAAGTAATAAGAATTTTCTCTTTTGATTGGGATTTGTGGTATATTAAGAACCAGATTCCATTTTTTTTTTATTTTGGAGGGTCATTGGTGGGCTGAGAAAAGATTCCCTCTTCTGCAGCTTGCGAGTTCCTAACCAGTATCAGACAGCAAAAGAAGAAATTGATCTAGTCATCCTCACAGGTACTTAGAGTGTAAAGCTGGCTGTATTTTGTCTTATCCCACTTTGAGTTGGTTATCCAAGAAGGGTTATTTTGACATAGTGTTCAAGATTATTTTTTTTATATAATGAGGCCACAGAGGTGTAAAGAATAGTAAGAGCTGCCACAGATGTCAAGCATTGCCTTAGAAAGGTTATTTAACCAGTAGTGTTCATAAATCCTATGGCCAGTAGGATGGTCCTAGTCCAGTTCAGTGTGTAATATCAGCAGTGCAAGATTAATATTCTAAAAATATTTTAAAAAAACATGATCTGATAGATTAGTTTATCAGTCCTGTTCACACTGGTGTCATTTTAATTCATCTGTTTTTCTACTCGCATAGATCGAAATACCATTTCAGTCTTGTTGCTGTGGTTAATATTGTGGGACAGAAATTCTGATATTTGAATTGAGTCGCATTTGCAGTACTCTTACACAATAAAAACTTTAGTAGAACTTAAATACATAAATAATTAAATGGCTTTAAAGTTTTTTTTTATTTTTATTGTTTTTTAAATAATCCTCTTTGTTTGTCAGGGCGTGGAATATTTTGTATTGATGTCAAAAGCTGGAAAGGTGAAGTGTCAGTGCAAAGACAGAACTGGCACGTGCACATCAAAGAACAAGAAGAGCATTTCACAAACACTTCTATCACCCAGATGCCTGATCCAGTCCAGGCGATTAAGGTATTGTTAAATCTGTTGTTTTTTTTGTTTTGTTTTGTTTATCTGGTAGGACCTTCTTCTGTCATGAAAATACTCTTTTGGGATTCTTCTTCTGTTTTTGAGGGCCTTCCTTTGCATCCTGTAGTACGTGGATGATAAATACTAAAACACACATTGCAGTAAATATCATAAGACTAAATGTCAGAAACCAGGACACTGACTTTTGTAAGCTATTTTGTTGATAAATAACTGCAGGGTGAGCAGCATGGTGGCTAGCATTGCTGGGGCCCTGGGTTCACTTCCTGGGGTGTTGTCTGTGTGGAGCTTGTATGTACTCCCTGTGTTCGTATGGGTTTCCTTTAGATGCTCTGGTTTCCTCCCACAGTCCAAAAACATACTGATAGGTTGATTGGCTTGTGTAAAATTAGTCCTGGTGCGAGTGTGTGTCTTTGCCTCTGTGTGTGCTATATGATAGATGTCCCTTCAGGGTGTATCCCACCTTGCGCCTTGTCCCGTTAGGATCTGGCTTCCCCATGACCCTGTACGGGATAAAGCTTTTAAAAAATGGAGGGGGGATAACTGTGTAGCCCCTTCTACCTCTTCCAGTTTGATACATTTCAGAAATGAGGTTTAATTTCTGTATACTCTACAATGAGTAAGCTACGACAAAACAGAATATTTGTGTAATATTATAACAGTGCTAACAGCTTTTATGTTTCTTGATTAACTTAGAAATATATTCTGAAACTGGAAGAAATATAGCCCACCATTCCTTATACACAATTGTGTGTTTCCTCTTAATTTCAAACAGTGGTTCACAGAGAATGTTACCAGGGATAAATTTATCCAATTATTTGTCTATTTTCATTTGCTCATTTCCCTTGGCCAGTAAGTATTTCTATCTTAATTCAATGAAGATCCATAAAGAAGAACTTCCGAGCTAAACGGTTTATTTGTTTCTCAAATAAAAGTATTGTGACTGTATAGAAATAGAGAAATATACAGTAAGAGATAAGAATAGGGGCTTAATATTAACCTGTTTTTCTATATCACAACCCCTACCTTTTAGTATATACAGCCTCTTTGGAAACAAGCATTACTCCTCCAAAAACCTTTTCAGAATAAATGTCTTCAACTAGGTAACCATAATCATGCACACAAAGTTGAGTAGCCCTTTACATTCTAGTGGTGGTTAACAGAAATATTCAAAGTAAGTGCTCCATAAAAGTAAGAGATTCAGTCTCCCATTTGGAAAAATTAAATCAAGTCCCAGATTTTTTTTTCCTCTGGGCTGTACTGTACCAGACCTTAATGGATGCGAAATAGATTAATTTTTGTGCCGATATCAGGGACTTTACTTGGCAAGCACAACTAAGGCAGTAGTTTCATAGTCCTCCTATATTTTTTGATTGATCTAAATTATGCTATGAGTGCTATTTTTCTGAGTCAGAGTAACATGATCTATACAGAGATAGCAAATACTTATACTTTATTAAACTCTTGAAGCTGGGCTCTTCATTTCAATTGCTGTAATTATATTCACTGGAGGAAAAACAAGTGCCCAAACACAGCTGCCAGGCTGTGGACTACAAGGCTGGATGGGATTAATTGTTTCCGAACAGAAGCTAAATTTTGGCGGAGGTTGGGATAAGCGGGGGCTGCAGGAACATCTTAATGTTACGTCTGACATAAGTAATACACTCCACTTACTAGAGTGAGCCTCACCATTAGTTCTCAATGCAGACTGCTCACTCTGTAATTATTCCAGGTGTACATCTTAGCCAGCATTAGTTCCTCATGACATCTGATTTTCGTCTGATGAAGATAACAAGAGGATAATTGCCCCCCTTTTTAGTCCTGCTTATTAATTATGACAACAATATAATAACAAGAATAGCATTTTCTTCCAGAGACGCCTATTGATTGTGGTGGGAGATGGGCTTATTTCTTAGGAAAACTGAGATATTAGACCTTTATATAGATGTATGTTTTTTCTTATGTGGAGTGAACTGAGTTTGAAAAACAATTCTATCTGTGTACATGAGAGTTGGGATTCAGGATAAGATCTTCTTGAATCCACAGTGAATGGAACCATAACCTTTGTTAGTTACCCAAGTCTGAACTTTTGATTTATTTCAAGATGCTCTGAAACTTTTAAGTAAGTCTGCTTTGCTTTTAAACATAGCTTAAATGTGCACTTTGTGAGCACTTAATTTATACTGTATCAGTTTTTATAATTAATTTGTGACCTTGTTTCAAGTATTTACTCTGTAGGTTTTGGTTTGGATAAAAAATAGTTATACAGTATATAGTGTGATTCAAAAATACATTTTAGACTTCAAATATTTTAAAAATGTCTGTTTTTAAAAGCCAAAGCAATGCTAGTGATAACTTACAAGCGGTGTCCTTTACTGTAATGCTTTCTTCCCTCAGAACAAGACAGCCAATCTGTGGAGTCGTGTAGTGCGTAGCGGTGTGGCTGTCCACCAGTCTCTCTTCATTCCTTGGGTGGTCTTCCTCTCGCCAGACTGCATACTGGACGAGGATCTCCAGAAGACCAAGGAGGTGGTGACCCATGGAGGCCTGGATTCATTCTTTCACTCCTTCAAAGAAGGTTACCTGGGATGGCTTTCAGACGCATTCACTCCATCTTTGTTATCTGGTGAGTGCCATGCAAAGCTTTTATGTAGTTATAGCTGTGTCCATGTCACAGATAAAAGAAATAAACAAGTAAATTCACCACCTCATATTTAGTATAGAATGTACAGTATTCAGGCTATGTGTCACCCTATTTTTTTTATTAAATCCAATGCATTGAAGTTCTACGCAATTATTTGAATCCTGGCTCATTTTAAACCTCATCCTTTTACAACTTTACACTAAAAAAAAATATTTTGAGTTGTCAGCTCCTAAAAATCCTCACGACTCCAAAGATTCCGCACTGTCCTTAGCAAAAAAGATCATGACAGTCATTTTCAGCTCAGTTTTGCCAAACAAAACTCCGGTAACAAGGGAGTATTTTAGCCAATTAGATGAAAGACCAGCTGACAGGAGACCAAAGATGCTCTGCTGCTTAATGACAATGCAGATCAGTTACTACTTTTTATTTGCCATGTGAAATAACATTCAAACGAATTACAAACATGCTTGCCCTAAAAATTCACCTCAATTACAGGATTGTGACTGCTGTCTTGTGTGCCTGCTGTTGGGCAGGCCACCTCTCTTACCGGCAGATTGCCAGCATTAGAGAGGTGCTAAAGAGAACAGGGACATGGGACACGGTCAGCCTGCATGGTGGGGGGCAGCTGAAGGGAGACTACCGGGGCTGCCAGCACCTTGCCCTCAGCCGCGAGGAGACTGACGTGCTGGAGTTCTCCCACGTCCGCACCCTGTCAGCAGGGTCCCTGTGGGTTCTGCTGGGGTACTCCCCAAAGGTAGGCAGTGGTGGAATCTGTCCCATCTGAGGCCTTTCTGGACTTTTCAGTGTTTTGACCGATTCCTTTTCCATAATTCAGTGACACTGGCGATATCAAGCAATAGCCCTTTTTATGTATCTTTTGGGTCCAGATCTTTTTTTTTTTTTGGGTGGCACAATGGCACAGTGGTTACCATTGCTGATATGCAGTGGTAATGCAGTGGGGCCCTTGGTTCAATTTTAGAACTGGTCTGCTATCTGTGTGGAGTTTATATGTTCTTCCCCCCCTAGTCCTAGTCATTCCTCCCTCTCGTGTAGGTTAATTGGCTTCTGTGAAACTGTGTGTGTGTTTTTGTGTCTGTGAGTGCCCTGCGATGGACTGGTTTCATATCCATGGTGTATCCTGCATGATCCTGTTGCAGGCTGGGTTAGGCTCCAGCTGCCCATGACCCTGTATTGAATAAAAGGGTTGGAAAATGAAGGGATGGATGGATCTTTTGCACCCTAGCCATTCAAAAAACATGTAAAGCTAATTGTTTGTGGTATTCACTTTATGCTTTGGAGATTTGTCAAAACACATCTTATTAGAAACCGTGTAGAGGCATCTGCCTCATCTTTCCTTCGGCTTCAGTAACGAGATACACGTTGCACACAGAATAACCTGGATTTCAGACCTTTGTTATTTAATTGAATTGCAGAAAGGTGCTTGCCCTTTGATAGAGTTCTAGTTCACTTCTTGTACGTATGCTTTTCTGTTTCCATTCCTCTGTGATATCCAAGATGAATTTTGTTTTCATCCAGAATTAAGCTTTAAAAAATGAAGCTGGGTTTTAAAAAATAATGACAACTATGAATACACACAGAGTGCAATTCAGTCTATTAACAGAGCGCACAAAAGCCAGGAAGTTTGAAATGTAATGACTAGAAATGTAATTAAAATGGAAATTTGTTGTTCTTGTTGCTGTTGGATTTTAAGTATTCACTGGCGTGCTAATGCTTTAGAAATTCACTCCATTTGGACAGGCATAACAGTTGCCTGTGGTACAGTAGAGTATTACATTGTAGTCATGTGAACAACACAGGGCTTCAGGGGTGAGAGCTTCCAGTTGTATCAGTTTCTGCATGTTGCTGTAGAAAAAATATACAGTACTCACAGAAAAAAAAAGAAGGAACTAAAGATTATATGAGAACACTGGTAAGTTTACTTTAGTTGTTTGATGCTTTGTTTTAAAAATCGTATGCGTGTTTATGTTTTATGGCTGCTTATGAAAGAGAGGGATGTCTACAAGTGTACCATTCAAGAGGCTGGCACATTCAATCTGAACCGTGGCAGAACAGGACAGGCTTCATTGCAGCTGTAATAAATTACCTACAAGTGCTGCAGAACAATAACAAAAAAGTGTGAGCCATCCATTTCAGTACCATTTACAAGAAATCAATATCAATACTTAATGCAATACTGGTGAAAAATGAGCAAAGATACAGAGCGAATAATAAAGCACAAATGAAAGACCTTGGAGTGTTCCACTTCGGGGCGAAAAAAATAAGAAAGCAGTTTTTTTTTTTTGCTGTTGGATTGTATCATTTTTACTTGTGCTGTGGTGTGTAAAGATATTTTTCACAGAGGCTCATTTTGTCCTCTTGTCCTGAAGTCTGACGGCCAAGCAGGCCAGCACACTGGGGACCACGTGAGAAATCCATCTTGCCTTCAGTTTGCCACAGCCAGCATTTCAGTGCCAGGTCTCATCAACATCACCACTGCACCACTGTAGGCTTTATTGTCTTTACTATAGACTGTACTAATTTCTACCACAAACTTCACTAATATTTTTTTCACAATTTCAATGAGTTCTTGAATTGAACAAAGGAACTATATAACCTGAAAGCAAGAGGACAAATAAAGGAACTGATATCCCACTATGCTTTCTGCACTGAATCTTTCAGATTCAGCAGAGATCCTGTAAGATCCAAGATTGGTGTGTCTACACAATTGTGACTACTTCACTTATTTTTTTAACTAATTGTTCGCATTTAGTAGTAATTGATTTCTGTTTTCTTTTTAACCTGTATGCTAGTGGTATTCTGCCTAGACTACAGGTCAGTTTGGGACATTTGAATGTAGATACAATGCTTTGTTCATTAATCATTAATGTTCATCAATTAGTATAGGATATGTGATAGGATATTGACTCCATGCTGATGTGTCCCAGTATGTGTGTGAAGACATTGGGGTCTTTGGAAGTACCAGGACAGTCACATTGCAATCTACTTGTTCATTTATTTAGGAGTGTCACAGCTCAAGTGGTCATCTGTTTTGTTTTTTTGTTTTGCTTGCGATTCACATGAATTCTTTCCTATAGACTTAACCCACCCATTCCATTTTCTTCTCATTCTTCTCATAACAGTTGTTCAGGCTTCAATAAATGAATAAACGACACCCAGTTTTGCTGCATCACTGACAGTTGTGTTTTCAGAAATTAAATTGTGTGCAGTATGTGTTTATGCATTAAACACGTCAGTTAGGTGGGTGGGATAAACACCTAAAAATGACAAGATACCAGATGTCTCTTAAGACTTTAATGCCTACATGTCAGTCAGATATTTGTCATTTTCTGCAGAATTGCTTATTTTTGTAATATTATCTAGCCCTTTACACCATTAAGCATACAACAGATCTGTTTTAGACTGTTTCACTGCTTGCTAATTTACAAAATTTACAAGTTACATTACATCACTTATTGGTTGTGGTTTCAGTAAATCCAGGCTTGCTCTATTGCCTAAGGAGGCTGACTTAAAAAGACTTAAAATTTTAAAGATTCTGAGTCAAATCTTTCTGTCAGGGTTAATCACCCAAGAGACGGTGATCTGAGAATGTTTTCCCAGCTCTCTTTGTAATTTATGATTTGGAATTTGTTATAATGAGAGTGGCTTAGAAAACCAGGACAAGGGAAAGCCTCTCAGACTATTGACACTCATCCAATTTCTAGTTGCTAATTGAATTAAGAATATGATCTATCTGGTATAAAGCTTGTACTTATTGAGAATATCTTTTTTTAAGTAGGGCCCTTTTTGTTTTTGTACAGTTTCATTTTCATTCTTATTGTAAGCTCAAATCAGTTGTTTTCAATGCTGGAATAACATGTATGTGCAGAATAATTAAAATGTCAACTATGATGTCAACATACATACAATAGTTGGTATACCTAGTTTACATAGAATCTTTTGAAGGCAAAAAATGGATGGATATATTTTTTGCATATTTTCAGAAAATGTACAGAGGGAAAAAACAATTATTTCTTTTCATTTTCAATGTACTCTAAGAATAATATTTTGGAGGCAACTATTTACAGACAGTAATCCTGCTGATCTTCTAGACTGCAATTCATCAAGGAAAAGATTCACAACACACTAAATTAGCAATGTGTTGAAAGGTGGAAAAGTCACATAGATAAGACATATGCACTAAATATGCATCATGTGCTTGAAAAGGCAGTATTCCTATATAAATATATTTTAGACTAGACAATATTTTTAAAATGCTTACTATTGTCCTGATACTCGCTCTTGCCTAGAAGATGGTTTCAGACCTGAGCTCGAGCTACAGCAGCAGCCAGTAGATGGCACTGCAGTCAAGTTTTCTGACCTACTTTTCTTTCCTGCCCTGCAGATCTGCTAGATAGAAATGTTTAGTTTTATTTTTTGAAATATTATAGACTTTTCAAAACAGTCAGCTTCAGACAGCCGAGGCAAACAAAGAAGAAAAACTGTATCAGTATCACTGATGCAAGTTTTTCCATGAAAACTGACAAGGATCTCTTCTGCACTGCCAGCCTGACTTAAAACAAAATGACTTTTTCCTTCTGAGAAATACAGTACAGATTATTTTGATGTAATAATAAATTAAAAGACGTTTCTTCTGCAATTTGTCATAACTTAAGAACATTAAGTGGCTATTCAAATAAGATGTTCAAGATTATACATATTTCCATTTGTATAATCAAAGGATTAAGAGTCCCAATTAGTCTTTACAAAATACACTAATTTTGTATTGTTCTGTAGTATATCAAGTTAAGGGAGGATACTTTATGCTACTTCTTGAAGTAAGGTCTTTAGGGATCTAGTAAATGCTTATTAGATTCAATAGAAAGTCCTGAACAAAGCTGGCAGATATTCTTACTGACTTGCATAGTTATATAGTAATTTTAATATAAGCTGTAGCAATCACTGTGATAGGAATTTGGCAGCTTTTCAAATTTGAGTCTTTGAACCTGCTGGCCCAATTGTATTATATTTTACACCTGGGTATTCTGGAGCACCGATATTACCAACACAATGTTGTTGACTTCGCTGGTATCATGTATCATGTAGGCTGGTGTAAGAAGAGGTTAGATTTATTTGGGAATGGAGCTGAATGACCTACACATTCAAAGGATCACCCAGAAACGTGGCAGGTTTCTCTGGTCAAATCGGTTGTGTAATCTGCTTTACTTCTCCAGTGTGAGTTTCAGGTAGTCACTTTTCAACACAAGTCTGTGCACAAGCTTCTGATACACATATTATGCATTTTTTAATAAGTGAATATTAAATTGTAGAAAATGTGTATGTATGTTATTAATAAGGAAGCCTATGTTACTACTGTATATATAACTTACTACGTTACTTGTTATGCAATTGAGTCACATTTAAAGGTACACATATTGTACTTTTCCACTTTAATGGAAAAGAGGAAATAGAGAGTTTTGTGCTGATATGGATCCTGTATAAGAGTTGCGTTTTCTCAAATGTATATACATTTTTACATGATGAAACTGAAGTCACAGCAATTTCAAATATTCAGGAACCATGTAACTGATGTTTAACAACTCTACACCTGGCATTCATTGTGACAGGATTTGATCCAAAAAGGCAGATCAGTATTCCTGACTGTATTTCCTTGTGAAAGGTACACCTTTAGTGTACTTTCTCATAACACATCTATAGTGCTATTGAGCACTGCTGTAAGTATGGTTCAGATTGTTT